ACTATAAGCTCGTTTTGCGTAAATCGGACCAAAAATTAATATTCAAAAACTGAAGGTAGCCGGACTAACTATGACATTGGGACGTCAAACATCTCAGTCCCCCCGTGACCATGGTTGCTGTAAAGCACCCGAAACGTCGGGAATTAAAAATAAGTAAAAGTAGTGAAATAAACGCGATAAAATCCGTAAATTTAGTTTTATTCAATGTGTAGTGTTCGCGTAAATTTAAGAAATCATTATGTGAACCAGTACGGACTGGTAATAGCAAATAAAATTCGCCGATTAGAAGATCTTAAAACCAAGCGCGCAAGATATATAACATCTTTAAATTTCTTGAAGAGATGCAGAGACCATAACCTCATTCCTACGTGTGTCAAAATATCAACAAAAAAGGACATTTGAGGAAGCGCAAAGATCTTAAATCAGGCAAGTAAAAAGTTGTTACGAACGGTGATTCAGCAGAAACGGTTCGATTTACATTTCATAAACAACACCATAGACAATTTGTTCAGTGAACTAAAGACAGTTTTAACGACATTTGATTTTAATAATTGCATCGAAACTTTAAACAAACGAGAAACAGCAAAATACAATGAATGCAAAAATAAACAAATAGAAAAATACCAAAAATTAACGATCAAATCAAATGCCAACCATCTAAGTCAACGTCAGAACGAAACACAACCGTTGACCACAGACGCAAACAATAAACAATGCACGGTCTATAATCTGTCAAAACATACACTGGATGAACCAACAATAAAGGTGTTAGCGAAGGGAATGAATTTCGCATTAACACCGCGAAAAATCCCGTACGAGGAAATTATCTGCAGCGTTGAGGATTGTCTGTTTAAAAATAATATTGGTAAGGAAGATTTGGAGGCTATACGTCAAGATATTTCGTCCTTGTTACGTCGTAGTTCAGTGCCGAAACCAAACCTTCCTAAAGACGAATTTACAGCGTTGATTAACTTACAGAACAGACCAGATCTAACGATTCTCCGAGCGGATAAAGGAAATGCTACGGTAATAATGGACACGTCAGAGTATAATTTTAAAATACTACAGCTTTTATCGGACGAAAGTACATACAAAAAGTCAAAACAGACCCCACAACTAACACGCTTAAAGCAACTAGCGATTTAATAAAGAAACACTCCGAAAAATTAAATCTCGACGTGAATTCGCTAATACCATCATGTACCAAACCACCGAGGTTGTATGGGTTACCAAAGATACACAAACCAAACGCTCCACTACGTCCGATAGTGAGCCAGATCGATTCACCAACTTATAAGCTGGCACAACACTTGGCAAAAGTACTGTCACCACTGAGAGGACATACCAGAGCACACACAAAGGATTCATACCATTTTGTTAGTGAGATAGAAGACCTACATCTCGCTGACAATGAAACTATGGTCAGTTTTGATGTTCAGTCACTATTCACATGCCTACCTATTGAAGACTGCATATCAATTGTAACTAGGAAGCTAGAATATAATAACATGCCTGCTGAATATGCAGTATTACTCAAACACTGCCTCACATCTGGCTATCTATTGTGGAAGGAAGAGTTCTACAAGCAAGTAGATGGTGTGGCGATGGGCTCACCTGTATCTCCCATAGTCGCTGACATATTCATGGAGGACTTCGAGGAGAAAGCCCTTCTTACTGCTCCTGTAAATCCAAGATTCTACAAGCGGTACGTAGACGACACTTTCAAAATTTTACCATCTGACAAAGTAACTGCATTTTTAAACCACCTTAACTCTATAAACTCCAAAATACAATTCACAATGGAGTTAGAGGCGAATAATTCTTTAGCTTTCTTAGATGTTTTAGTCATTCGAAATCCTAATAACACAATTGGTCACACTGTGTATAGAAAAAAGACCCATACCAACCGATATTTAAATGGTGAATCTCACCATCATCCTTCACAGTTAGCTACCGTGGGTAAATCTTTGTTTCAGAGAGCACGAGGGATCTGTGACAGAAAACATCTGGCCGCCGAACTTCAGCACGTCAAGCAAGTATTGCAAGACAACAAGCTTCGGGTCCCGCGCCTACGTCACAGTGACCGAGTGAAGCCGGCCACAGTCGAGCGTGTGCCTGCTATACTACCATATGTCAGAGGTGTCACAGACAAGGTCGGCTACATCTTGAAGCGAGCTTCTATTAAAACATACTACAAGCCGCCGAAGAAGATTAGTCAATTTTTACCATCCGTCAAGTGTAATATCCCTCTACAAGATGCAGGAGTGTACAAGTTAGATTGTGAATGTGGTCTCTCTTACATAGGTCAAACAAAAAGATCCATAAAAACCCGCGTGAAAGAACATATAGCTGACGTGAAGCACCGACGCTCCGGGAAGTCTGCAGTCTGCGAACATGTTCAAGATCGTCCACACCATTACATTCGTTTTGATAAACCACAAATTCTCGCAAAAGAACACCGATTACTACCAAGGATGATACGCGAGGCTATTGAAATTAAAAAAACATCCAAATTTCAATAGAGAAGATGGATGGGTGCTGCCACCTGCTTGGGATCCTACGCATCGGTGTATAACACTAGCTCAGTACTGTCTGTGACCACTGTTGACCAAATTTGTACCTCAAATTATCTTGCTAATCTGCACTTCTCACAAGATCAAGTACTCAAAACACTTACTGGTCTAGATCGGGCCAAGGGAGCTGGACCTGACGACATACCCCCTTTGTTTGTAATCAACTGCCACGAAGCGTTATCCTTGCCTTTGGCAACCATTTTCAATATGTCTTTAAAAACGGGTACTTTCCCTTCGGTCTGGAAACAGGCACGTATTGTCCCAATTTATAAATCAGGAGACGCAGGATCCGTCAGAAATTACAGACCAATATCCATATTGTCTGTCTTCGCAAAAGTTTTTGGATCATTAGTTTGTCCTGTTTTGGCTTGGCACATAAAACAAATAATCTTACCCCAACAATCGGGCTTTTTAACATCTCGCTCTACAGCTACAAATCTCGTTTCGTTTGTGGACTATGTCTCCAAGTCTCCCGATTCCCGCTTATCTGAAGACACCATCTACACAGACTTCAGTAAGGCGTTTGACATTGTAGATCATAACATCTTACTTCACAAACTCTCAATTTTGGGCATCACTGGCAATCTTCTCGAATGGTTCTCTTCATACCTCAGGCAGAGAAAATCGAGAGTTGTGGTAAATGGTTACTCCTCAGAACCATTTCTACCTACGTCTGGCATTCCTCAGGGTTCCCATCTCGGTCCGATCCTTTTCAATATTTTTATAAATGACCTAGCGTCTGTTTTTAAACACGCGACCTGCTTTATACTCAGATGACATGAAATTGTCCTTGAAAATCAAAGACCACAGTGACTCACCCCTATTGCAAAAGGATTTGGACCGAATGTCTTTGTGGTGCGTTAAGAACAGACTATTTTTGAACCTCGATAAATGTAAAATTATAAGATTCTCAAGATGTCTAAATGTGAAAAAAAAACACCTATGTATAATATTGATGGTCATCCTTTGTTAGAAGTGGACTCTGTTCGAGATCTGGGTGTGGTTCCGGACAAAAAGTTGCGGTTTCATAAGCACGTTGATGGAATTGTTACAAGGGGTCTTCAAATGTTGGGGATCGTGTTACGTAATTCTAAAGAAATTTAAGAGGACCTCTACAAAAATATCCTTGTACAAGTCTTTAGACCGTTTCAGCCTCGAATACTGTAGTTAGGTCTGGTCTCCATTTTATGACATTTACGTGAAACGCATAGAGCGTATCCAGAAGCGTTTTTTGTGGTATCTTTCGTACCAAACTTACAAAATAAAGGATCTACCCTCATACGAAGATCGACTAACGTATTTTAAATTAAGTAGCCTGCAACAGCGGAAGCTTTTGCTGGATTTCATGTTGCTACACAAAATCGTCAATGGAACCGTAGACTGTCCATACCTACTAAGTGCAATAAATTTCAAGGTACCTTTTAAGCTAGTGCGTGTCAGCCGATACGTCCCCTTTTCAGTTGAAGGCAGTAAAACTAATTTGGGTCACCACGCCACCATAAACAGGTTACAGACGCAATATAACCAGCTCTGCAAGACATGTGACGTTGATATTTTTACTGATAAGCCTCAAAAATACAAACGAAAAATTATGCGGGTCATTATCAGGCGACTCATTATTTGGTTGATTTCTTTTTTTGTTTTTAAATTTAGGCCTTACTAACATGAAATATCTATTCCAGAGTTAATTTAATATATATAATAGAAGAGGTAATATATAAGATAAACGTATAGACCGAATGTTTAAGAAGGTATTTAATTTAAAAAAAAAATGGTGTCCACCGAAATCAATATTTTAATCACCGAAATCAAATAAATATAAAATGATTTATATTCCAAAGATAATTTTCTTAAGGTACATTTACTATGAACTTATGATCTGTAAAGAATTGCAGGTTAATTTGACAATAAAAAAAATTATTTTATCAAGACTTATGTGTAACCATTTTTATTAATTTTTGTGAAAACTTACAAAAATCAACTTTGGTAGGAAGCGTTAAATTATTATATTAAATGTCATTAAAGATAGTAGTCTTAAACTAACATTATAGGAACTTAAACAAATCAGCATTCTTGGTCGAGATCTAGCTTAATCACAGGCAATTTACTTATTGAAAAAAATTACTACAAAATCACTTAAAAATCAATCCTTTAAACAACATCAACAATTGTAGAAGGCACTTACATAACTAATAGTATTTGTATTTTTAATAAAAATATTACTTTGTCTTTTGATTTTAAGACAATTAAATAAGCTTTAGTTATAATAATCACCCAGCATTAAATTAACTATGTAATAAACTTCTTATAAAACTTTGTATTACAGTTTTCAATCCTTAATTAAAAATGTCATATTCCTCGTCACTACTATCTTTACAATTTACGATTTTGGAGACTACTTCATTCATTAATGTCGGAGCAATATTTTCACAATCTCGACACACGTGTCCAGAAGCTGTCACTTTCATGTAATCCAATGTCTGAAGGTAAGGTATGGGACAAGCGCTGTTTGGTTTCATAGAACTGATCAGCAAGATCAACAGAATAGATACAACCAGGTTGAATTAGAATATTCGATAAAATTTGAGGCTTAGATTCAGTTGCACTGACTCCACTCCCTTTTTTGGCTTGACTTGACTTTTTAATCAGATTGATCTTGTCACTCTTGTTCTTGTTCGTTCTATCAGTCATTAGTCTATCAGCTTGCTCGCCTATGATGTATAATCCTACATGATACTCATGTTCACATGACACTGAATTATTTTTACATTCACCTTCGGCGCAACTCATTTTTCTCATCGATAGTTCCATACTGCATGTATGTAATGAAAGTATTTATTTATTTATTTATTTATTTATTTATTTACACTTTATTGCACCATAAAAAGATTACAAAGGGCGGACTTAATGCCATTAGGCATTCTCTCCCAGTCAACCCGGGACGTGTGGAAATTATGTGATAGGTGACAAAATAAAATGAACAATAGAGTAAATCAAGGAAAAAAAACTACTGATAAACTTAAAAACAAACTAATATTATATATACAAATTCAATAAACTTATATACTCCAAAATATATTACAGATAATATATAATATATACATACATATTCATAGATACATAAATATATACATATTTTAAATACAAATAGATATATAATATAAACCTATAAATAAAATAACAACAAAGGTAACCAAAATTAACCATATTAACTATCATCTAATATTTTCATAAAATGCTTATGTACCAATCTTTTAATAGCAGTCTTATTAGATGTTTTTCTGACGTCATCGGGCAAGGAGTTCCAGAGCAGTGCAGCCTGAATTGTGAAGGATTTACCAACAAAATTAGTAAAATGTAGAGGGATACTTAGTTTATTATTATATGAGGAACGCAGAGTTCTATCATGCGTTAGGGAAATATATTGAAATTTTTCCTTGAGATAAGAAGGAGTGGATGGATCATTTAAGATAGAGAAGAGAACAAGCAAAATTCTAGAGTCACGCCTCTGTTTAATAGTAAGCCATTTTAGGCGAGAGCGATAGTGAGAAATATGATCAAATTTACGGAGATTGAAAATGTATCTGACGCAATTGTTGAGAAGGCGCTCTAGCTTGTTGAGAAGATTTTGGTTTAAATCCGGGTAACACACGTCTGCATAATCAATTATTGGTATATAAGTGACTGTACAAGCATAATTTTAGTCTTAAAGGGGAGAAAATTTTTCAATCGATAAAGTGAACGTAAAGACCCAGAGACTTTACGACATGTTTCGGAGATATGAACCCCCCAGGACAGAGTACTATCGATATGGAGACCTAGATTTTTAACTGAGGGAGAGAACGGTATCAGAAGATCATTATAATAGACGGGAGGTAGACTAGCGGCATCTATTTTAGCAAGCATCCTTGAGCTACCCACAATCATCGCTTGGCATTTCGTAGGGTTGACAGACACTCCAAAACGCATAGACCAATCACAGACTGACTTGAGATTTGAATTCAATTTGTTTATCGCATAATGGATGTCAGAAATGTCAGACTGTACATAAATTTGTAGGTCATCAGCATACAGATGGTACGAACAATCAATATTAGATGTGATGGAATTAATAAAAATTAGAGAAGATTAATGGAGAAAGTATACCGCCTTGCGGTACGCCAGAAATCGGGTCAACCCACTGTGAATTCATTTGCTCCACGTGGACAGACTGTTGACGTCCGCGAAGATAAGATGAGAACCATTCCAGGACTGACGGTGCAAACCTATAATAAGAAAGGATAGCAAGAAGGATATCATGGTCAACTATGTTAAAAGCATTAGAAAAGTCAACGAGCACTACAACTGTAACTTTCTTGTTTTCCATTCCTTCTCTAATGTCTTCAGTTATTTTAAGTAAGGCAGTTGTAGTGCTGTGACCAGGACGAAAGCCGGACTGAAAAGTACTCAGCAGGTTATGTTTATATATGAAATTGGAAATTTGCTTATGAACACAGGCTTCCAAAACTTTAGATAGGAAAGGTAAAACTGATATGGGACGGAAGTGATTGGGAAGTGTGGGATTGGATACTTTAGGAAGGGGTCTAACGAAAGCGTTTTTCCACTGACTCGGAAACTGACCCGATTCAAGCGAAAAATTAACAATATGTGTGATTGCGGAGATAATGTGTTCTAGAATATTAACAATCATGGCTCTGCTAATATCATCGCAACCGACAGCCTTGGATTTTATTGCCAGAAGGATCTTTCTGATTTCATCCTGATCTACAGGGTTAAAAAGAAAGACTGGTATGTGTGGAGACGGAATTGAGGCTATGTAAGCGACTGTTTGGGATCGGATTGAAAGGTCCAACGCAGAAGCAGAAGCAAAATGAAGATTTAAAGCATCGTGAGAAAGCGATAAACCACAATCCAAAGAGGGTGTTTTGCCCACACCTAGAGAACTAAGAAATTTCCACACATCAGATGGCGAAGAATCACTTATATTGCTATGGATAAATCGGCGTTTTGCAGAACGTACCATCTGATTGCATCTGTTTCTGGCCTTCTTAAAAGACAACCAGTTTTCCTCAGATCTGCTCCTCTTGAACCGGGCATCTCATCTCGATTTCGCCTAGTCATGGCCTTCCGTACCTCTTCAGTCATCCAGGGAGCTGGTGGCCGTCGTAGTTTCACTTTACGTACAGTCAATAGAAGTACAATAATCACCCAAAGTATATCACTTTCATAGTCCCTGCAAATTGCTTGATATTGGATGGAATTAGCAATTCTTTTTCATAAATACCGGAATCGTCAATAGTTTTCGTTATAATACCCTGAACAGATTTCAGATGAGTCATCAATGATGATAAGCTTGTGATATCATTACCTTGAACAACTATTCGATCAGCTGTTCTTTTGAGTGTTGCACCGACACCATCTGGGGCTCCTTTTCCATGGCCACTTTCTTTATAATTCCATGTAATACTAGTCAAACTGGGAAAGTACCAATGGAGTTTACTGATGATATAAAACATTTTACGGTTTCGGTACTGAGCCGACGGACTATCAGAAATGAAATGTAGTATACGAATATTGAGATTTTCGTCTCCTATGAATTTTAAAATCGGAAGTAAATGTTCCCAAATGGCTGGTGCATCATGGTGTAAAGACTCTGATAATGTACACATCGACTGAACTTTCAGAAGTCCATTTTTATGATAATAAATGACCGCGGTGAGCAGGGTTATTTGTTGTCGGTTACCCCCGAAATGAACGGCTTGAATTTCATTACCGTATTTTGTGCTGTAATTTTCACTAAAGTCGCAGTGTAATACACTCTTCCTCAGTGAGGTCGCTTTTCATTTTTTTAATAAACTTGTTTTGTGCGATCATAACTCCACAGTGAGTCACGTATGAAGGTAACATTTTTTCAAATTTTAAAATGGTGTCCCTGGGGAAAGTAGTCACTTTATCTTTCGTTGTGTGAATGGTTGTTTTAGTAACTCCATTCTTGTAATAAGTTCTTTTACTTTTTTGCCAAATCCAGTAAAACAATACTTCAGTGTTAATGAATTCATTATAGATTAAGCTTTTATCTTTGCAGTCAGTCATTATTTTTTTTAAAGCAGTCACCATCAACTCCATATTTTCATGTTCGATACAAAGACAGGTTTCTCGTTTATTTACATTAGGTTTCAGTATCCAAAACGGTCGTTTTTGGCAAAAACTGGAGTTACTAATTTTATTTTGGGGATTTGTTTGCTTAAACTTAGTATATAAGTCTTTTAAAGAATCATTTAAATAGCGTCTTTGTTTTTTATTCTTTTTTCTGGGTAATGAACTCTTTCTTCCCAGAACACATACGACTGTTTTCATCTTCTTCAAGAAAAGTTTTGATGTCCTCTTCCACATTATTTTTAATTGTTTTTATAGTGTCTGATTCACTTTGTTTAATATCTTCAGTATTATTTTTACTTATATGTTCATATTCTCTTAATTTAGCACTTTGGTATTTTAATCTATATATCTGTTTTCGCTGTCGTTCGTTGACAGTCTTCAGTTGATCAATCTTCTCTTTCTGTAACTGATATATTTTGTTCATGCGGTATTTAAATTTACGTATGATAACTTTGATATTCAGTTTCTTGTTAGCTTTTGGATTTGGAGGAAACTTCTTTTCAATCACACGAACTGATGATCTTGTACATGGCTTTGAAATTTTACTAACGTCACTAGACGATTGAGTCCGTCTCGGTGCTGACAAGCCTCGATAAGCCTTAATACGCTGAGGTAAAGGAAATTAAACGATGGATGAACTTGATGGTAGCAAATCAACATAGGAACTTGCTTCAGTTTGAAGCAATTCTGTTCGTATTGTTTGTGATTGTGAAGTCACCAAAGGATCGTCAGTTTTGTCGATTACTTCTGGTACGATTATTAAATCCTCTTCAAGACACCTCGTTTATTTACGCCTTCTTTTCAAATTGTGTTTGTTGGAAGATATTCTACTTCTCTCTCTAAAACTTCGTTGTTGACGAGGATCTAACTCACTTACAGACTTTGTCTTTCCTTCATTCTTCCTTTTATAATACCGTTGTCTATCTTTCTCTTTGTGTACTGCATAAAGCTCTGGATCACTCTTAATGCAAGCTTTCCGACGTCGTTCAGACAATCTCTTTTAGCCAACCGATCTTATTTTGAATCTGACATAATCTCAATACTGAAACAAGATAAGGAGTGGTAAGAAAGTTAAATTTAAGATCATAAAATGTAAATAAATAACGATTGATTGATTTTGGTGATTTCAAAATTAATTTCGGTGCACCTATTTCCACCGAAAACACCGAATTCAATGCCACTGAAATCAAAATAATTAACAAAATCCTAAATATTTTCGAAATCCTAAATGTTTTCGAAAATAAACTGATTTTTTTATATTAAACTCTTTTTTTGAAATCTAATACATAAAAGACATAATTTTATTTTTATTTAAAAATATTAATTCAAATAGGTGTGGATAAAATGGATTCACCGAAATCAATTTTAGGGGTATACCAAGCCACCGAAAACGATTACATACCTCAATAAAAGAGTGACGCGGTAACGCACAGACGCGTTGATCTTACCACCAATACGGCGCGACTGACAGTTTGTATTACTCGAACAACTATTCTCAAAGTCACTAGAGTATGGGATATATGAACGGATTGGTGCGCACCACTGATATCAATCCTAAACGTTGGACGTGAAGACAACTAGTTGTAACTTGTCTACTAAGGCCTATTGTGCTTTAGTAATATTATAAATGGAATTAATAACTATCTAGTTGT